ACATGTCCCCGGCGTGAGATTTGATATTAAAGCTTTCGCCGGCGGATTATTCATTACCGCGCTAACAACCCGACGTATCGGTCTTAATCACGATTCACAAATTAATCTCGCGGAACCGGCGACCGACGCGTGTATCGCGTTTGTTGACGGCACTGTCTACCTAAATATATTATCGGTTAGGGAAGCGGAAGGCGCAAGTTATGACTGTGTGTGCACGGGGATTACCGCTCGACTTCGGGCAAATATGTCCGTTGTACTGGTTGTAATTTAATCGACGGAATGTCGGGAAAACCGGGTCGGTGCAGTTACCCTCGCGAGTTTTCCGAGATCGACGTAAAATTCGTGGCCGGCGCGCGATCGCGTGGGAACGTTCGCGAGTAAAAAGCACTTTCGCCGCACTTTCTGATACTTCATAAAGTATCCGCGTCCCGCTGGGCTGAAATCTGATCTCGGGAGAGTTGAAAATTAAGTATGAAAGTTCGATTAAGGTCAAATCGAGCGCGCGCGCACAGAAGAGTGTGCGGGGATTAATTTAATCCTTCGGCGCGCGGATCCATTCTCAATTTAACATCAATATTGAATCCGTAACGGTTCACTTCGTACGGCGTACTTGGCAAGAAACCGCAAAACCTCGCGTGAAAGAACGCTAATTGCCGCTTTTATCGGTATAGGAAAATTCCGGACTTCGCACTGAATGGCTGCGATTCTCTGATTGCGACTCTCATAATTAAGAGATTTTATAGCGTGCCGTGAGAGAAGGCGCGTTTCTCTTTTATCACCGATTTAAATTGTCACATCCAATGACACAGGTCTGGCTCGCTGTGCGGAAACGTATATAATTGAAGATAATAATTTATTAGCATTAACATCAATATTCATTTCAGTACCGCTTTTATTACCTTTTGTCATGAACATATTTTAATATAAAAATGCTTTCAATAATTCGTGGGTAAAACGAATTATTGTATAAGTAATTTTATGAAAGCCGGGGGAACAAAATTAATAAAAGCGGAACTCTTTCTCTCTAAAAGCAATGAAGAGAAATTATCACAAATTAAATGAAGCTTTTAAATATTTCTTTCTTTTATCAGTAAATTATTCTTAATTATTCTTAAATCCATACAAAACATTTATATTGATATTTCCACTTTGTTGAAAACATTGCTTAGTAGAATTCAGTTTTTATGTTTGTCATACTTCAAAATATTTCTGTCTTTATATCTTTCTTTGTTAACGTCATAATATTTATATCTTTCTTTGTTAACATCAAAATATTTATATCTTTCTTTGTTAACGTCAAATACATCAAATACTTATGTTTTGAAGTCAAATATCATTTCTTAGCCGCATGTCTTTCCGACTCGAATGTCAAAGGGAAAGCAAGGCCATTTGAATCTATTATCTCACGCGCTCGTTAGAAATCTTCAAACAGAGACTAGCCATTGGATCTCCATGTGATTGGCACACGGGATGATGGCCCGAAAAATGGCGGTACCAATACGGAGTTGTGCTCACCAAGCACGAACAGGCATAAAATATGAATTGAAATATTGTCGCACTTTGCGAACGTATAGTTTATCGCTAAAATAATGATAATAAATAAAGATGTATACATATATATCCTTTAAAATATATAATGTAAGTTCTTGAAAATATTACATATAATCAATAATAATCGCATGTTATATAATGTTGAAAGAAATAAAAAACTCCTGAGATATTCAGATAATATAATAAATAATTAGTTAAAAAAAATATATATGTACTAGATAGTTTTAATAAATAGAGATTACTTGTATTGTTATTATAAGTTTTATTTAAAGGTACATAAATATGTACAAGTGTAATAGTTGTTAATTGTTCATTTTACGTTATATGATGTTAAATTTCGTGATTAAAATGATAAAATATCATGTTATTTATGTCATACAATTGATGTTGCAAGGACACGATTCTTGACGGTGTGCGAATGAAATACACATGCGAAAATCTATAGTATACATAATGTGAACTATACCAGGTATGTAAATATGAAACCGGAATTTTTGTATAGAAAATACACGTTTATTGTATGAAAATGATAAAAAATATTTTATTCGAAGTATTGCCCATCGCTAGCTATACATTTTTCCCACCTGTCTGACAATTTGTGGATGCCACGCCAAAAAAACTGTTGCTCTTTTGAGGCAAACCAGTCATCGAGCCATTTTCGTACATTTTCGTAAGAAGTGAAGCGCTGCTTAGCAAGTGCGTATACCATCGATGCAAATAAATAGTAATCGGACGGAGCCAAGTCTGAGTAAGCCGCATGCGAAAATATTTCCCAAGGAAACGCTTCAATCGTTTCCTTGACCAGTTTTGCTGTGTGTGATGGTGCATTCTCATGAAGCAAAATCACTTTGTGTTGCCTTTTTTTATATTCTGGTCGTTTTTCACGCAAAGCTTGATTCAAATCGATCATTTGTTGTCGGTAGCGTTCAGTATTAACGGTTTGATCAGGTTTTAGCAGCTCATAATAGATCACATCCTTCTGATCCCACCAAACACAGAGCATTGTCTTCCGTCCATAGCGATTTGGCCTTGCAGTCGATGTCGATAGTTTGCCTGGAGTTACCCATGATCTTTTACGCTTAGGATTCTCAAAATATATCCACTTTTCATCGCCAGTCACAATTCGATGGAGAAATGACTTTCTTTTGTACCTGGCGAGCAGCATTTCGCAAATGGTTTTTCGGTTTTCCTGCTGTCTTTCATTAAGTTCATGTGGAACCCATTTTCCCATCTTTTGGATCTTTCCCATCGCTCTCAAACGTATGGAGATGGCTTCTCGTGTCACATTTAATTGATCCGCGAGTTGTTGTTGCGTTTGAGTGTCATCCTCATCCAACAATGCTTGCAATTCGCTGTCTTCAAACTTTCTCGGTGGTCTTCCACGTTCTTCGTTTCTCACGTCAAAATCGCCACTTTTGAATTTTTTAAACCACTCAAAGCACTATGATTTACCAAGAGCATGTTCACCGTAAGCTTCGAGCGATTCTGCAGCAGTTTTCTTCAAATGGTAACAGAAAATCAATGCTGTCCGCAATCGTAGTTTCCAGACACAAAATTCGACATGTTCAACGTTATTACAAACTATGCTGTTGTATGAAACTTGTATTGTTGTGAGTTGAAAATCTTTGTCAGAGATGTCAATAAGGAAATGGCGCCAATGACGCGGTTTGACGGTAACTATATTGACAGCTAAGGCCATCTGTGGGCAAATTCCAGTTTCATATTTACAGACCTGGTACATTTTCACATGCGTATCTGATTCGCATACCGTCAAGAATCGAGCCCTAGATCGATACACACACACACACATACACACACACATTTAATAGATCAAGTACTCACTCACCAGCTCACACATATTCATCGCCGCCATTTTTCGGGCTAATGGCCAGTTTCTGTTTGAGGGTTTCTAGCGCTCGTTAGAGACCCTTTAATAAGAGTCTGGCCAACACATACATTGTTACAATACCTCGATTGAAATACCGTGATTGATCCGTCATTTTTTCTCTAATGACGTAGTAATACCACGTGATAGCAATGTAAACCCATGGCGATGCATAGTGCAATAAAATATAACAAATAATAAAATTTGATTTATTTCATTTATTTTCTCCTTTATCATCGAATGGTAAAATTGTCACTTCGCACTTCTCTTTCATCATTTACACGTTATATTGTACATTACATATAAAGAACACATTTATTCATAAAAACATAAAACAAGTTAATTGTAGTTTGAACAAAATGAAATCTGCACAAATAATATTGAAATATTATTCAAATCGATGTTTCGTCAGTGTTTGTGATATTAATCATTCATAATAATGCGCTCGCGCTGAAGCTACTCCTTTTAGATTAGAGAAAAAATGGCGGATCAATCAAAACACTCTAAAATCAGATTTCTGTTGGCCAGACTCTTATTAGAGGGTCTCTAGCGCTCGTTAATCATTCGCGACATCTTTCGTTCAACATGATTTTAAGAGCACAATGAACAACGCAGCTTTCGATTCGAGCGGACTGCGGTACGGGCAGCTGACAGCCCGATGAATTGAACGTATACTTTCGCGTTTTGCTTTCGTTTTCTTCATTCTCCCTTTTACGCTCCAAAAGGACAAACATACAATTGACGCAATCATCATTTTTAAGGAATTAGACCAACCTCGAATTGAGTAAGTAGTCAAAAAAAAATCTAAGATAAGCTTAGGTAGTGATTTGCAATCACTTTAAGTAGTCCGATGATTATTTCGGACGCTGTTACCAATTCGGTCTTGGTAAGCGTATGAATGTCTTACGCGACACTTCATGGCCTTTAAATGTCATATAAATTACCTGACGATAAGACTTAAGCGGCGTCTCGCAAACGCTAATAAAGAATCGAAATCTAATAAATCTATCCAGCAACATAATGTTGCTTTATATGTAGCAGAAGGCTGCATTAAAAAAAGCATAAAAGCTAATTTGTGAGCGGCATAGGGCTGCTTAATAATATTCCGTTTTTCGTTAATTTAATTATAATTTATTTAATATTTAATATATTTAAATGTTATTTTCCTCATATTTTGTAAGTTTATATATTTATTTAAGTCACTTTAATAATTGTTTTCATTTTAATGTATAATTTCCTCCTTTTCAATTTTATTAAAAATTTACTCTTAAAAATAAAAAAAAGTATAATACTTCATATTTAAAGCGTTCTTCATGCTCTTTGGATCTTATGTAATTTAAACACACTTCATCGACGGCTTGGTATAACGTAAAATTACATTTCCATTTGAAAAACGTAATTTATTATTAATTTAATATAACGTAGAATTATGTCTTCCTTTAGTATGACGAAAGTTGCAGTAATAATTCCGTGTTTTCTGCACCGACGCAGCGCATAATCTCGTAAAATAAGTACTTTAGGATGAATGAAATAACATTATGAAAATATCCTATTTTGTTCACAGGCGGAAATGGTGACGTCGAGGATGTGGATACCGATGTGCAGGACTATAGCACGGACGAGGACTACAACGACGTTTTCGACTCGACCACTAACGGGTGAGCGTTATATACATGCAACCCCTATCGTCTTATCGTCTTATCGCGGGATTAAACGCGCAACTATACCGTATATCCGTCTAACTGGCGCCGTGCTTAATTAGCAATTAAAATTGCCATCGATCGTCCATCCGCGATGACCGAGGACTTCCTACCTGCGTCTGGGCGAAATTGCTCGAGACAAACGAGGAAGCCGAGCCAGAGAACCCTCTTTAATCGTGTTATGCTTTCACACACGCGTCTCCTCTCCTCTTTTTCTTCGCGAGAACCTTTCGTTAGTGGAAACGAAAGGCGAGACGAGACGAGAGCTACTTTCGAGCCGTGTCGAAGTATCCCTCGCGATAATCGGTTTATACCGTAACTCTAGAAGAATGCAAATAAGGACTGTTTAACATTATCGTCAGCGTTCACGTATTCAGCACGTACGACAAACGGAAAGTGTGTTAATTTTGTAAGATTACGAACTGTATAAAAGATTTGAATAGCTCGACTATTGGAAAATAATCGCGACACTAAATAGCTGGATCTACTTTGCAAAAGCACGCTGGTGAAAAAAAGCAAGTAGCACATGGAAAAAATGTTTGGTTGAATTAACCAAATATCTAGTCGAATATGAGCGATCTAAAAATTTCGATTGAAGTAACCCGAATTCTGTTTAAGTCAATAAAAGTCTTGTTAACTTAAATAAAATTCGGGTTACTTCAATCGGAATCTCTGGATCGTTCATATTCGACCAGATATTTGGTTAATTCAACCAAACCTTTTTTTCCGTGCAGCTATAAGAAACGCCAGTAAGTACGCATACTGAAAAAAATTATCCGATAAAAAATTAACAAACGGATATTTCCAATCAAAATACCGATGAATTTTTATATCCAATCAGGATATCCGATTAAATTTATCAAATACTTCCGGTCATAATGGCATTTCATCAGATAAACCGATCAAAAAATTATAAACTGATATTTCTCATCAGATGTTTCTTGATCGAATACAAAAATTCATCGATTTTTATCGGAAATATTCGTTAATTTCTTATCGAATAATTTCACTTAATATATAAGAAGTTACACCTTACCTATGTTGGTGAAATTAATATATATTGTAAGTATGATAATTAGAAATAATTTGCAAAAAAGACTAGGTGGAGGACGACATTAGTTTAGAAGATATAACAAATTAAAGTTTGATAATTTTAATGCTTTTCTTTAAGGCCTGGTTGCACCAATATTATTTTGGCTTTAAGCGAGAAACTTAAACATATATCTATCTTTATCTTTATTTCTAAATAAATAAAGACAGACACATATATTTAAGTCTCATTTAAAATCAAAATAACATTGGTACAACCGAGCCTAAATATTATAAATTTAGGAACGAAGTACGTCGTACTAATTTGTTTCGCATCTTCCAACTATTGTAGAAAAAGTTTTTGCTCATATTATTTGAAGGATGGGATTAAATTTGCGTCGTTTAATCAGTAAGTTGAATAATTACCGCAATATATAACTTTATATATCCTCAAGAAATTTTTGATAAAAAGCTTTTTTTGGAATCAAAGGCAGATTCTCCAGTAAACTTACAATTTAAAGAAGTTATTATTTTCAGGCGAATTTTCAAACATACATTCTTCAACATGGCGCCCTCGCATTTCGCGCAAAAAATTAAGCAAAAATATACACGAACAATTGAAATAAAAAGTTTCAAAATCTTTACGATAATCAATGAAGAAGCATCACGCGCAAGTCTTGACGCGATGTTTGTTCCGAGACAAGTCCTTCTTCGACGACTCGATGGAGAAGTCGAAATTTCTTCGACGACTCGAGGGAGAAGTCGAAATTTCTTCGACACTTTTAATCGCAATTCGACTCGAATTGGTCGACGATTGAACACGACAGGTATGATGACAGCGCGTGAGAAAGAAGGGACAATAATACGTAAGGAACGAAGGACGTTTCTCACAGTTTCGTTCCTATCGGGAAACCGGGACAGAAATGAAGGAAGGAACAAGAAAGAGAGAGAGAGAGAGAGAGAGAGAGAGAGAGAACAGAAACCCGCGGGGCTTAATAAGGAAGCGACTTGATTGGTTCGATTCGAAAGCTAATAATGCCACTTCCCGTGTAGGCAAGCTCCGGGTGGAACTGCAAAGGCTGCCGCATGATTAAATTTGAATTCTCTGCTTCCCTCCCCGACAACCTCGATTCCTGTCGTTTCCCCTCCTCGCGGCTAAGCTAATTTGCAAAGGACGCGTCGATAGAGCCAATCGAAATTCCGTAGTCCAAATTTCATATCCGCGCTTTCTCCGGCTCGCCCGGACGCGAAGTCGCTTCCGATAGACGCCACGGTGTGAGTTTACGGCGAGCTATGAAAATATATATATATTCGAAAATTCCCATCTTCGGGAATGTCCCTCCGCGCAAACGCGTTGGTTGGGGAAAATCGCGCGCGCAATTTCCGCGCCGCGCGATTTTCTCTCGACGAGGAGTTGATATCGACGTCCCGTCGCAATAAATCAGTTTTTGTCGTTACACTGGAAAATTTAATATCGAAATCAACGTCCCAGAGAAAGGAGAGAGAAAAGTTCCAAATTCGTCGAAGGCGAGCTACCTGAAACGTCATCGGATAGTTCCGAGCTTCACCTTGCCGGATATCAAAAAGTTCGAATGCGTATTTAATGTATCCTTTTTAATTCTTCGTTCCGCTCTGTCAAGAAGATCCCTCGCGCCGAATGGAAAAGTCTCGCAAGTAGCGCGAGACACGCAATTTTCTCTCCTCAAGAATCCGATATCGACGTCCCGTCGCAATAAATCACTTCGTCGGCGCGTTAAAAAAAAATTGAATATCGAAATCGACGTCGAGCAGAAAGTAAAGAGTCTGCGAGTCCCATTCTCTTAATTAAAATGTCAAGGTGCCGATAGTTCGCAAGTTGTGAAACGAGAAACGCGAAAATTCTTAGTCGATTTGTTAATCGAAATAAAATTAATATCTGTCGACGGGGAATCAAAAGTATTCCGTTTCTCTCGACATATTCGTTTTCAGTGAGAGGACAGTCGATACGATCACTCGAGACAGACAGAGAGAGAGAGAGAGAGAGAGAGAAAAAGAGAGAGAAGGGAGAGGAGTGGAGAAACATCCGCCCCGACTTATATAAATTCTACTGTCGTCATTTTGCACGATCCAGTCTCCACCGTACTCTCGGTTACGCGGGTGTCACGCGCGAATCGATACGCGAAGGGCAGATTTACCGCGGTATATATTCCGACATGATAATACACTCGTCGTTATTGAAATTACACACCATAAAACGTGCGACATCTTGCTTCCAAGGCAGCGTGTATATATCTTTGGCCGTCCCGTTGGAATTTATATCTTCCTCCCGTAGCCGTGCTCTCTCAAGAAAAGTATATCCCGGGGATCTATATGCGGCTATATATGCAATCTTATAATACCGCAGAATTTTTACTTATCCCACGCCATGAATTACCGCCGCGAATGAAATACTTAAGCCCCCGTGAAATGTGCGGAACGCTCACAAAGTGATAATAAAGAGCGTGAAACGCGCGAGGCACGTAAAATGCAACGGCGGGTGTAATCGATTACAGCGCATTACCCGATTAAACAATAAAACACCGAGTTTGTGTTACCTACTGAATCGGCGCAAACCTGCAGTTTATACACACGAGTTATACAGCTATCGTCACAAATTCACGGCAACGCGATTTAATTGCATTAACCGAGCTTTCCGAGCCGGAGTTTCATTTTATATTCGCGAGCGACCTGGACACGGAAATTTGATACAACCAATTTGTAATAGCGTTTAGATAAATGAAGTCACGGCTATCGCCGTTAATCCACCGCGACTAATAACTTCGTTGTTATCGGGTAAGTCGCTGTACGCGAGTCTAATGTCGCGCAACATTCGGCCTCGCGCGTAACGATGCGCGATTTATGAAATTATATATCGCGATGCAATCTTTTTTAAGAATCTCAATGAATACGATATATCGTGTCACAATTTTGTATCGCAAACATAATTTTAAATCCCTCGCGATTTTATATCGTAAATACGAGATTTAATTATAAGGGAACCATAATGTTTAAATAAACGTTAATTATAGTAAAAATAAATAGATAACCTCTCTCTCTCTCCCTCCCACCCCTCCTCTCTCTCTTTATTTCTCTCTCTCTCTTTTCATACCGCATCAAAATATTCTTTGAAATGTCCACTATAAAAAAACATGTTTTATTGTGAGAGAATAATTAAAAATAAAAGCACAATAAAGTTAAATGATATTACCGTAAAGACATTACTTAACTTCATTATGCTTTCTACTCGGAGCAAAACGGAAGACATTTTACAAAACTTGTTTATTTCCCAATCATTAATTTTGAAACGTTTTTGAAAGTGACTTTTTAAAACATGCAATAAATAAAGATGTATTTTTGCACATTTAATTCACTATAATTATCTATTAGCAATATGTTTCTTATAAAATAAGATTACCTTTTTTTATTACCTTTTTCTATTAAAATATTAATGATAATATTTTTAAGTATAGTAATCTTTGATAATCTTCTGAAACATATAAAAAAATATATACAAAAAACATATATAAAAAGAAATAATGCAACTTAATGTTTTAAAACTGTTGCAGAAAATATTGTAAAAATTACTATACAATTTTAGTACTCCGGTAGCAAATAGACATTATTATGAAAATATAATAAAACATATTAAAAAGGACTATAAACATGAGATAATTTTACTACATTTATGGTAATTTTTACTATGTTTACGGTCACTTTTACTATGTCTTATTATAATTTTTATCATAATATCAATCTATTTCCGGAGTATTAAAATTGTGTTGTAATTTTTACTACAATATTCTTTCCGTGTATAATAGCATAATCTCATTATGCTTCTAAATGTAATAAGTTTGGATTAGATAATATAAAATATCATAGATTGTCGCGTGATATTTGCACAGATACTTAAC